AAAACTTATGTTGAGATATATTTAGTAAGGTGTTAAACGTCGCGTTTTATCAAGAATTTAAATTTTATTGCAGATTCCGATAGAATACCTATCCAGGTATAATACTTGTACGGCAAGATTTTTCTTTAAGGCGACAAACACCTAAAAATGCGCTTGGCAATTGTAGGACTTCTTCTTCTTCTTTTTTGGCGCTGTAACCGCCTAAGCGATTTTGGCCGAGTTCAGCAAAGCACGCCAGTCGTTTCTCCTCTGTGCCAACTGACGCCAATTGGAAACGCCAAGTGAAGCCAAGTCCTTCTCCACCTGATCTTTCCATCGCAGTGGGGGCCTCCCTCTTCCTCTGCTACCACCAGCGGGTTCCGAGTTGAATACTTTCAGAGCTGGAGCGTCGGTGTCCATTCGAACGACATGACCAAGCCAGCGGAGCCGCTGTATTTTAATTCGCTGCACTATGTCCATATCGTTGTAAAGCTCATACAGCTCATCGTTCCATCGTCTGCGGTACTCGCCGTCGCCAACGCGTAAAGGCCCGTAAATCTTCCGCAAAATCTTTCTCTCAAACACTCCAAGAGCCGCCTCATCGGATGTTGTCATTGTCCATGCTTCTGCGCCATATACCAGCACGGGCATGATGAGTGACTTATAGAGCGTGGTTTTCGTACGTCGAGAGAGGACTTTACTCCTGAATTGCCTACTCAGTCCAAAGTAGCACTTGTTGGCAAGAGTGATTCTACGTTGGATTTCAATGCTGACATTATTATCGGTGTTAATGCTGGTTCCCAAGTAAACGAAATTCTCTACTTTCTCGAAATTGTAACTGTCAACAGTGACGTGGGTGCCAAGGCGCGAATGTGCTGACTGTTTGTTTGATGACAGGAGATACTTCGTCTTGTCCTCGTTTACCGCCAGACCCATGCGCTTTGCTTCCCTATCCAACTTGGAAAAGGCAGAACAGACTTCGCGGTTTTTGTTACCGATGATGTCGATGTCATCGGCATAAGCCAGCAATTGCACGCTCTTGTAGTAAATTGTTCCTGAGCGGTTCAGTTCTGCAGCTCTTATTATCTTCTCCAACATCAGATTAAAGAAGTCACATGAAAGGGAGTCGCCCTGTCTGAAACCCCGTTTTGTGGCGAACGGCTCGGAGAGGTCTTTTCCAATTCTGACGGAGCTGGTGGTATTGCTCAACGTCATTTTACACAGCCGTATGAGTTTTGAGGGGATGCCAAATTCAGACATAGCGGCGTATAGGCAACTCCTTTTAGTGCTGTCAAAAGCGGCTTTAAAGTCGACAAATAGGTGGTGAGTGTCGATCCTTTTCTCGCGGGTCTTTTCCAAGATTTGGCGTATTGTGAATACCTGGTCTATGGTGGATTTGCCAGGTCTAAAGCCACACTGATAAGGCCCAATCAGTTCATTGACGGTGGGCTTCAGTCTTTCACACAATACGCTCGATAAGACCTTGTAACCTATGCTTAGAAGGCTGATCCCGCGGTAGTTGGCGCGAATGGCGGGGTCACCTTTCTTGTGGATTGGGCAGAGCACACTTAAATTCCAGTCGTCGGGCATGCGTTCATCTGACCATATTCTGCACAAGAGTTGATGCATGCACCTTATCAACTCCTCGCCGCCGTACTTGAATAGCTCAGCTGGCAGGCTGTCAGCTCCAGCGGCTTTGTTGTTTTTCAGCCGCGTTATTGCTATACGTACCTCGTCATAGTCAGGCGGTGGAACGTCGACTCCGTCATCATCGACTGCGGGCTCGGGTTCTTCTTCTCCACAACTTTCTGTGCTGCTACCATTTAGTAGGGCGGAAAAGTGTTCCCTCCATAATTTAAGTACGCTCTGGACATCAGTTACTAGGTCGCCATTATTGTTCTTACAGGAGTGCGCCCCGGTCTTTAAACCTTCCGTAAGTCGCCTAACTCTCTGGTAAAATTTTCGGGCATTCCTCCTGTCGGCCAGCATTTCAAGCTCTTCGCACTCACGTATTTCTGCCTCTCTCTTCTTGTTGCGGCAAATACGTCTCGCTTCCCTCTTCAGATCCCTATAGCGGTCCCACATAGCGCGCGTTGCGCCCGATCGCAGCGTGGCCCTGTAGGCGGCATCTTTTTTCTCTGCAGCTTCCTGACACTCCTCATCGTACCAGTTGTTCTTTCGGGCTCGCTGAAATCCGACTACTTCTTCGGCGGCGGTACTTAATGAGCGGGAAATGTGGTTCCACTGCTCGCATATGTCGGTTTGTTGAAGAGTGCTCTCTGAGAGCAGGTGTGAGAGTCGAGTAGCGAAAGCGCTGGCTGTCTGTTGTGATTGCAGCTTTTCGACGTTAAGCTTTCCTTGCATATTTGGGCGCACATTTTTTGCTGCACAGAGGCGGGTGCGTATCTTGGCTGCAACAAGATAGTGGTCCGAGTCGATGTTTGGGCCTCGGAGTGTGCGTACGTCTAAAACACTGGAAGCGTGCCTTCCGTCTATCACAACATGATCGATTTGGTTTCTCGTTTTTCGATCCGGAGACAGCCAGGTAGCTTGATGGATCTTTTTATGCTTGAACCTAGTACTGCATACTACCATGTTTCGGGCCCCGGCGAAGTCGATCAGCCTCAATCCGTTGTCGGACGTTTCGTCGTGGAGGCTGAATTTTCCGACGGTGGTTCCAAAGATCCCTTCCTTGCCCACCCTGGCATTGAAGTCGCCAAGCACGATTTTGATATCATGACGGGGGCAGCGCTCGTACGTGCGCTCCAAGCGCTCATAGAAGAGATCCTTGGATGCCTCATCCTTCTCTTCCGTCGGGGCATGGGCGCAGATGAGCGAGATGTTGAAGAATCTCGCTTTGATGCGGATTGTGGCTAGACGCTCGTCCACCGGGGTGAACGACAGTACTCGGCGACGGAGTCTCTCTCCCACCACAAATCCAACTCCGAATTTGCGCTCCTTTACATGGCAGCTGTAGTAGACGTCGCAAGGCCCCAGACATTGTTTGCCTTGCCCCGTCCAACGCATTTCTTGGATGGCGGTGATGTCAGCTTTTGTCCTTACGAGGACATCAACCAGCCGGGCAGAGGCACCTTCCCCATTAAGGGTCCGGACATTCCAGGTGCATGCCCTCAAATCGTAGTCCTTTAAACATTTGCCGTGGTCGTCATCATAAGGGGGGGTCTCATCCGAGGCTTTGCCTTGCTTCTTCACTGGAAGTGGTTTTTACGTGGCGGGTCCCAAGCCCAGCGCACAACCCATTGCTGGGACGGGGGTGGTTTCGCAACCAAATACACGTTTATATAGCGAGCCGCTTGCTCCAAGCAGACACCCGCTTGCAGCCGCACCTACTGGTGAACAGACGCTGCAGACTTCAGTGAGCCCTTAAACCGAATAAGTCAGAGTGGCCCCACCGAAGCTCCCTCTCTTTCTGCCGTGACCCAAGGCTCCACTCGGATTGGTTACCGCATCTCGCACATGGGTTGCTCACGTTGCCCAGAGTGCGCGAACGAGGACGCAAGAGTCGGGATTGAGTATAGCCATGCAACTGTAACTGCATACCCAGCGCAATGACTATACCCCATTGCACTCCAATCAAAGAATATTCTAGAAATGGGCGTGGCTATATTAAAACCTAAGTTCAAAAATTTATACTTTATCGTGGATTTCGCCAGAAAATCTATATGGATTGAAAAAGTTGTGGAACAAATATTGTTAACGAAGCGATATTCTGCCGAAATCCGCAATAAAATCTGCGTTTTGCTAATTTTAGTCCTGCAATTGCCATGCCCATTTCTGTGGGCTTGTCGCCTTAAAGAAAAGTCTGGCCGTAAAAATATTATATCTGGGCAGGTATTCTATCGGAATCCGCAATAAAATTTTATTTTTGCAAAAACCCGATGTTTAACACCTTGCTAAATATACCTCAACATAAGTTTTCGAAAGAAAATTACAAATAATTGTTGATTCTCACAAAATAAACCATCTCGTCATAAAGAAAAATATTTTAAAAATAGTTCTTGAAAATCCCCAATTTTTTTAACCTCGTTTTTATAAAGAATTAAACAAGGATTACGATGGTATAATTTTAAATCCCTCATTTACTGGTCTTCACTAGAGCTGGAGCAAACCGTATGTATTCGTTACTGAGTAACGAATACAACAACCCCTGACTCGAAGTACCGAATCGTTACTCACATAATAGTCTCGTTACTCGCATGTTCCGTATATGCACCATCATCGTGAATCAATACAACACAACATATTGTGCGGTAACGAAACTGTTTTTCGTATCGATAATAAAGTGTGTTGCTTGTATATGTACGTATGTACATGCATGCATGATTCCTGTGAGGTACAAGTGCTTGATTGTATCAAATTGTTCGAATCGATACAAAAATATGTTCCGTGTATACATATGTATATATGTATGTACATGTACGCATATGGACGAACGAACATTTCCTTGCGCTGCAAGATTTGTTGCGATGATTCTTGTGAGGTTCAAGTGCTTGTATCAAAAGTAACGAGTAAAGTAACGATACGAAAGACATGGGTGTTGATTGGATTAGTAACGAATACATATGGGTATCCGAATTTTCGTTACTTTTACAGCTCTAGTCTTCACTATGCAAATCGACATCAAAAAGTTCAACTGTTAATAGCTCAGTTAGCTTCAGGACAATTTTGACCACCTTATATATAGAAACGTTAAGCCCGTTTCTTAGCTTTAAAATGACGGTAAGATGAAGTCTCTACGATCAGCAGAACCTGAGTTATAACGGTTTTAAGAAGTACATGATTAGTCAGAATCACGAAAAATGCTAACTTTGACAGATCATATCTCGGAAGAAGAAAAAGAAGAAAAAATTCCTCGAACACGTGTCAGCTTATTTTATGTATACAACCCACAAAAAAAAATTAAGCGAGTCATAGACATGATATAATTTTTTTTACGAAATCCGTCCGACTTACAAAAGAATGGCTCATATGCAAAATTACTTGCAAATAAATTTACTTACCCGTTTATCGTTTTTATACCACGTAAGAGTGGCAAGTGGATTTCCGCCCGATGACACACATAAGAGTTTTTGAACTGAACCAGCTGGTATAATTTGTCCTTCCATATATCCCGAAATTATTGGGGGAGACGGTGGATCTATAAAATAAAAAAATAATATTAGTAAAACAAATTAAGCAGATTTTGTAGTAAAATTTCATCAAACCGTGTATATATGTATGTACATTTAATGAATCATCAAAAGAACCGAAAATAATATGCTAGAAAAAAGTTTTTTTAAGCGATTAGATAAGTGCTTAAACTTGGTAAATATTAGGATTTTTGATTATTCGCCTTTTTCCCAAAACCGGTTTTCGAGTTATTCGAAAAATTGCATGCTGAAATTAGAAACAGGTGAAGTAATAAAACAGCTTTCTCGCTTTATTTTCTTAATTTTCTTGACATTCGGCCATATATGTAACTAGCAGAGCATGCGACGTCGTTCGGGTTAAACAAATCAAAATATAAAACAGTAGTACAAATATTCAGTTCAGCATAAATTAAAGGAGTCAAACTATTTTCTTTCTGTTTAAATTAAGGCATCATTATGAACCATACTTTTAGCTTTATCGTGCTTCAACAACTATATAATCTGTACTACAAATCCTGTTTCATTATTAATATTAGGTGGATTAAAGTAACGATAGAGTTTTCAAATTAAGATTAGTCTACTACGGTACATTCCGTTTAGCTGCCTATTCGCTTAGCTGCATTAGTATAGCTGCACTTTTCCGGTAGAATGCTTTTTTCGAAAGGTGTTTTATTCATTATGAATGAACACTTTCCGTTTAACAGCATCGCGGGATCAAAAAAAACCATTTAATCTTTCCATTTCGAAATGGTCTAAGGACTGTAAGGTTAAAAAAACACAGTTTTAAATATCTGAGTGATCTAATAGATGAATACATATTTATCCCCTTTTACAAACTCATTTATACATACTTTACACTAAACACCTCCCATATACATATAAGTCTGCATACCAAATTTCAAGTTCATTTGACTTATGGTTCGCGATTTATGGCTGTTTAAAAATTCCTCGCACATACTCCACGTTCCCTTTTACAAATTCATGTATACAAACCTTACTATGGATATGTATTCATATCATATTCTTGTGACTTATGATTCCGAAGTTGTAGCTGATAAAAAATTTCGCACCTGGGGAATGTGCCACGTCCCCTTCAAAACAAAAAAATAAAAAATTATATATGCCTTACTATAACATTTATCATAGATCTTCACACCAAATTTCAAGTTCATGTGACTTATGGCTCTGAAGTTATAGCTGAGAAACATTTCCAACCAACGGGATGTGCTACTCCCCCTTTTAGAAACTCATTTATATATACCCTATTATAAGCACCTACATTAGATATGTCCGCATACCAAATTTCAAGTACATGTCACTTATGGTATCGAAGTTTTAGCTGACAAAAAATTCACCGCCTAAGCGATGTGCCACACCCCCTTTTAAAAACTCATTTATTTATACATACCTTACTATAAGGAATATATGTCTGCGTAACAACTTTCAAGTTCGTGGGACTTACGGTTCCGAAGTTATACCTGATAAAAAAGCCCACGCCCTCTTTTGCAAACCTATTTATATATACCTTACTATAAGCACCTACCATAGATATGTGTGCATAACAAATTTCAAGTTGTGACATGTGGTTCCGAAGCTTTAGCTGACAAAAATTTCCACGCCTATGGGAAGTGCCACGCCCCTTTTATAAACTCACTTATATATAGCCTACTATAAGCACCTACCAAAGATATATGTGTATGTATACCAAAGTGCATGTGACTCATGGTTCCGAAGTTATAGATGATAAATTCTCCGCGCCTATGGGATGTGCCTCGCCCTCTTTTCCACACTCATGTATATATCTATAGCCGGGATTGGCATTGGTTGATCGTCAACTGTTTCATACTCAATCAATACCGCTGCTTTGTATGACTGAGCAACGGCGTTGGCTTAGTAGTATCGATACCTAACCGCCCGTCTCCACAGGATAAAGTTTATATCTTGATACATACATATGTTAGAATATAAATAGCCACTGGAGACCGCTCATTGCTCTTCAATTGCCGGCAATTTGGTAGTTTGACAGCTACGTGTTCATTTGCATGGAAATTTCGTAGCGGCAACATTATTGATATTTTAATATAAAAGCAAATAATGAACTGTTTTCGGTTAAAATATTTGTTATTAAGGGTACTCATCTATTCGCGCAAGTTTCATATTTGGGCAATTGGGCAACTTTGCGCAGTGTCTTTTATGAGGACAATTTCAGACTTTTAATTATTTGACAATGCTTAAGTTAAAAAGTTGAACAATTGAAACTCGAATTTAAGAAAATATTTAAGTCTTAGGAAAAAGCGTTGAGCACAAATAAAAATGAAAGTAAACAAAATAGTTGATTGAGGGTTGCACATCACACTGCGCAAATTTGCGCGATAAAATTTCCGCGCAAACTTGCCCTGTTCGTGCAAATAGCTTTCCATTCAAATTTTGACATTTCATTTGCGAGGGTTTTAAGTTGCACAGTTTGCCCAGTTTGCGAGAGTTTTGCGCTTTTAAATGAGTACCCTTATTATGTAATTGGATGTGAAATAGCATATTTTCTAAATTTTTTAAGTGATTAAATCCGGCAAAAATACGTTTTAGAAGCTATCTCACAGATGCTTATATCAAGATATAAAAAGCCCACACAAATATTGCCGCTGATATAATTTATATCTAGCGACCAAAATGACAGCTGGACAGCAATAAATTTTATCCTATGGAGACGGCCAGTAAACGAAATTAGAGGATGACTGAACACCAGCGCATAGCGTGCTGTCTTGCAAATACAGCCACCACAAGCAGCGTTGCCAGGTTGCCGTTTTTAACGTCATTTGGACGTTTTTTTATCCTGTTGACGTTTGGACGTTTTTTTGTGGTAAAAATTACGTTTTTTAACTTCCCAGTAATTTTTCTATGTTAANCTGAACACCAGCGCATAGCGTGCTGTCTTGCAAATACAGCCACCACAAGCAGCGTTGCCAGGTTGCCGTTTTTAACGTCATTTGGACGTTTTTTTATCCTGTTGACGTTTGGACGTTTTTTTGTGGTAAAAATTACGTTTTTTAACTTCCCAGTAATTTTTCTATGTTAATAAATCTTGTAAGTAGAACTGATTTTGAACTATTTTCTTAATAAATCTTTACAAGGTTTGTGCTTCAAAAGATATTTATTCTTTGGACACAGATGACTTAAATATGATGCAAACCAAGCGTACGCGCATTTCTTTTGGATTCTTGGACTGAGTCTCCCGTTTTCAAAGGCTGGTTGTGTAAACACTTGAGGTTACGAGGCTTATTGTAATGTTTGCTATTGCACATTAAAAGCCAAATCAGGAAGAGCCGATCTATTGCAACACGCACGCTCACAAAAGCATAAAAAAAGCTGCGCAGCATAAAAAGTCAGAAAAAAAGAGGGCGACTTTTTTAGGACTTCATTGAAAATGTAATGAACGCAAAAAAGGCTGAAATATTGCTATGCTCCTTCTTAGCAGAACGTAATTTAGCATTTTCGACAACCGACCCCCTAAAAAAAATTATTAAAAATCAACGCGATTATTTAGCGCCTTTGAACTTGCACATTATTGCCCCGAAATTTAATGGGCTATCACTGCATACCAAAAAATATATCTAGATATCTACAAAATCTGAATAAAAAGTTGAAAATCTAGCTGAAACTTTGCCGATTTTTTATAATTTTTGCACAAAGTTTGATATATAATGAGCTTGGTTTTTATGGAAAAATAATGAACAAAAGAGAAACAGCCAAAATCGATCAAAATGTTGATGACTTAATCAGCTGATCACAAGTGTATGTATAAAATGATTTTTATATTAACGATCTCAAACCAGTTTACAATGAATTTTAAATGTGCTTTGTCGAAATGACATTTTAATATACCTTACGTACACATGTACCTGTGTATACAATAAAAGTTTAATAAGAACAAATTTTTGTACATTCATTTGAAAAAGACGTTTTTGGGTAGGAAATGACGTTTTTTCAGACCAAGAGGGACGTTTTTTCACGCTGAAGACCTGGCAACACTGCTTATAACAGCTTATACCAGGGATGCCAACTCATTTTATCTTTCTCCCCGTTGGTCACCGCGAAATTACCCGATTTTCGGTGAAATTCCCCGCACTGGTACAATTCCATCAAAACAAACTGAAATTTTTTTAATTAAATTGCTTGAACTTATTAATGAATGTACGTACAATATTTAAATGTTAAATTTTTTCACAAAATTTGTATAAAAGTATATTTTATTGTATAACATATGTCATATAAGTCAAAGTTTAAAACTTTGGGCAAAGCTCACAAAAAATCAACAAACTAAAAAAAAAATATTCATCAAAATTTTACTGTTTTTACTCGGAATTTTGGAAGCCAATTTAATTCTTGTGGCTAAGAATTACAGTTGATTTTGGATGTTTTTTTTTTGCTGGCGTATTTCGCCCTTTCTTCCTCTCGGCTCATTTGAATTTATATATTATTATTATTTAATATTAGCTAATGAAAATAAGATATCACATATTAATAAATGAATAAATATTTGCATTATTTAATAAATTAATTTAATAAAATTAAAAAACGGCAACTTGTAGCAAATAGTTCATTTAAAATATCGAGCTAGTTCGTTCGATCAAGTCAATGACCTACTGTATTGAACTAACTAGTTCGTGAACTTCCCAGCTGTACTGACCAGGGTTGTTGCGAATATTCCCATTCGCATTCGCAATAATCAATGCGGAGCTTTTGCGAATGTTGTGCAAGTGCACCGATAAAACGTATATCTGGCAAACAAAATAACAATTTTTAGCCACTATTTTTTGGTCAAATGTCATATTTACCAACTTTGATAAAAATGTCTTTAAACATATTATTTCTTAAGATATCTGTGGTCATAAGCAATAACCGTCTAAGTCGACTTAAGAAAGAATTGAGTTATGTATGCTATCCTTTTCTGCAACTACTATTCCATGTGTGTGTGAAACTCCCATCTCGTTACCTAGGCTATTTAAAAAGT